CCAGGTCAACTGGCCCAGTCGCCTTCTCCTTTCCCGTCAGAGCCTTCATAAAGTTATCATAGTTCTCCACCAGCGTGATGTCGTAATTATATGCCTCAATTCGAACGTCCGGATTGATGGAACGCAGTGTGGCAGCCGCTGCCTCCACTTTGCTCAGTCCCGCTTGATGTGGCTAAACAAAAGACAAAATAGCAAGACATTCATCAGCTGAGGTGGCACACAAAGTAACAACACGCGCATCTGCCCACAAAGGGTCCCTTTTACCCCGTAAAAGGTTATAAAAGGTGAAAGTGGCAAGAATTTGTGACAGTTGGGACTTATTCTAAAATAAATAACGACGTTTACAAGATAGAGTATATTCCAACCGAGAGCATGTAAAATCCGACTGTTAAATATAGCCTACAGAATGAAAACGTTCGTCTCAAAGTTCCTTGACGGGAGTTTGTATGGCAACCGCTCAGAGTAAAGGGCTTTAAACAGTGATTAGTTCCAGCCACCTTAGGGTCCAACTTCCTGCCAACTGACAAGATAAATATGAAATCAGCAATTAGATCAGCCAAATAAATGTCGACGATGGGTCCACCTTAGAATCCAGGAACTGCATGAAGTTAGAACTTCATAAAAACGCCACGTGTTACTGCTGCTCGTTGGCCAAGACTAGACCGAGTTTTTGGACAGCCGGGGAGCAATGAGTCAAGCGCCCAGGTTAAATATGAATTTTATGCGAAGACAGATTTCCGCACAAAGGTGAGAAACGGTCTATACGCTTAAAAGGTTACAGTGCTATACAGGAGACAAAGCTGTAGGTTTATGAGTGAGACCTCACGCGTCGCTCATAACATGATATACCTCGCGATCCAGCACTATACATTAAGTTTATAAAAAATTGATCCAACATCGATTTCTTTACCCTTACAAAAACAGCATTCTTTGGGACCAAATGTCAAAAGTCTAGATACTCTCCGCTACAATCAAGTAATTATGTTGTCGATGGTACATATTTTATCAGATTTGGAATGACTGCTATCGTATAGGTGCCGTTGCCCTTATTCGGTGTTTCGGGCCACCCTCACTGCTAAGCAGGGTACTAGAAACTGTGTGAGTGATCTATAAAAGTGGCGGTTTGCCGCAGTTAATTAAATAGTTCATGGACAGTCATCTTTGAAAAGATTAAAGAGCAAACATGCACATACGTGTGCATGTGCATGTGAGAGTTTGATGCGTGTATTCCGTCTGAATGTCAGAAACTAGTGGGACATACGCTACATTTAGTCAAATAATTATAATACCGCTTAGCAACTTGTAATCGTTCTGACGAAATACATTTGGGAAAACGAAATCAATCATAAGTCAGGCAGATAAGCGAGCTCAACAAAGAATGATAATAATACCTGGAAGAACAACCGGTTCATGTTCGCCAATTCTACTTTATCATAATCGAAGAGGATCAAGCGACCAATACCACAGCGAGTAAGCATTTCCGATGCAACTGATCCAACACCTCCCACACCAACAACAGCAACGCTCTTTTCTCGAATCCTATAAGGAAGGATTTAAACCAGTTGAAGAGTATGGCAAGTGGTCAACAAAAAGACGCGGTTTCTCTGATACAAAAATCGCATTGTGAAGTTTGTGGGATGCGTTCCGTAGCACGAATATTGACTATGAGCAGCGTGTTACGAAACCTTTAAGAGATAAGAAATTTCGCGTGCTACATGCTGTGTCGGTTTTCTAAGCACACAAGATACGGAAACAAAACTCTAAATTGTGTCAATCACTAGACCATTTAAATAAGCGGAACTTTTAAAACAATGGAGAAGACCTGAACGGTAGACGGAACGTACTGAGCGTAGTTATCTACAATCCCCATTTTCTGCAGCGCCATCAGCCGACTGTAAGGGTTAGAGCTGACAACCTCACTCGACATCTGTTCAATAACTTCTCTGCCAGGACGAGCTTTTGATAACTCGGCGCGCAGCCTGGAAATTTCCGCCTTTAGGTCGGAGACTTTTGTAGACTTCGATTTTGGCATTTTTCTATAAAAAATAATAATTCTGTATGAAACATGGTTTTTGATACGATTTAGAACGTGAAAAAAGTGCGCGAGTATAGGACATGCAATCGATCAAAAGTAGAAAGGGCCACACTTCAAAGGTTTGTCAGAAGGAAAGAAAACAGGTTTTTTTCAGTCTTAAAGGCGTCCGTATGTCTAATTATTTCTAAATTAATTGAGAAGAAGGAAACGCTGTAGGAAGTGATATCGATTAAGAAAGTAAATTAGCTACCTTACTATACAAGCAGAAACAGGCTTTATTTGAACGTTGTTTTGTAGACACATGTAAAGACTGCGGAAAGATTGGTTTATAAATGTTCTAAATGCAGGAGAAATAAAACATACAAAAAGCTATTAGGTTAGACACGTGGCATTCTCTCAGAAATTGGTCGACCTCAACGCGAAAATATAACACTAATTCGTAACCTAAACCATACATCCTACGATAATCCCAAGCCAAGCATTACCTCTACGTTATACACGCATAAATAACAATAAACGTGAGCATACACCAGCAAAAGACGCTTATCAACGCGATTCTAAACGACTAATATGTGATCGTTTATTATTGCTTTCGTCGATTATGATGAGAAATTGGTCTTAGGCAACAGGAGTTCATGCATACTTGATAGCAGATAGGTTGTTTTCGATAAAGACTGGGGAGACCAGAATGGTCATTTATGGCTTATTAAGAGTCATCAGCCAGGCATAAAACACTTGGGATTCAAACTCGAGACTTTCGCTTATTGGATTTAACAGTCCACCGATGAGCCACGAGCCCGCTGTCCTTGCAGTTATCAGCGGGAGGGAATTATGCCTGATAGGATCTCAGACAACTGTAAAAATATGCATGGGAAGATGCACAAATGCATGGCAGAGGGGCAATCGGATCGAACGTGAACCAATGTTTATTATAATAACCCTCGGTTCACATCCGATCCACTTCAACGAATAAATTCGATCAGAGACCCACAGATATATTAAGATACCAAAAAATTAGCAGAAGAAAGTCGTTAATTTTTCATAATCCCGAAACTGGAATTTCGCGGTGAGAACTTTAGTAAGACAAAAAGTATTTATTATGTACCAACATACAAGACCGCATTACAAGTGTATTGCAGTTTTACACGCAAGTGCAAAAGTGCAGAAACACTCGGAGAGTATAAATAAATAAGATATGAAAATCAAGGTAAAAATTCAGTTCAACTATAAGTTATTGATTTATAAATAAAAATAAAAACGCAGAAAAACGATATTGTCTCAAAAGAACATGATTATGCTTATAATTGACACGCGACCAACCGTAACTTGCTGGCAATCCTTTTAAAAATCTGCTACACAAGACACTGAATTAAAATAAACGCTTTAGGTTATGAAAGTATGCACGCACATAAAAATTGGCTTTTCATCAGGCTAGTAAAAAATCACAAACCTTACACGTATTGGTCCACATTTAATAGAATAATTGAGATCGTTCTACAAATTGCTGGATATTTTGAATGAGTTGTTGCTGCCGACACAGTTGCCGGATTCAAGGACTACGATGCCTTATTTGAACTGCGATCAATACCGTTCACAGAAGTGCCCTTGCCTTGGCGGCATGACTGGTCTAACCGAAAAACCCCCATATGTCCGGTGACTGCAAAGAAGGTGTTTCGACGTATTCGTTCCCTACCCTCTATTGATGAAACATTAAGCATGAGAGCTAAACGCAAACAATTCCATGAAATATTAAAAATGGACAAAGTGTATCAAAAAGCTACGGTAACGTATAATTGCAACCTTCATAGTTCCAAATATAAACTTGAGACATAGCAGATGACTTTTCCCCTATTCCCGCGATTCACTTACATTAGATTACATATCTGATGAAAGGTTGGGGATTGAGTGATTTAACACATTGGGTTCATTGGATTGACTTGAGGCACAAAATGCTGCTTACTAGATTTGAATTCCGTTCAGATCTGTATACTGGGAGAAAATATTGACGGAAATGGCGAAATCCAGCGTTTGTTGATATCCCAGGAATTTACTACGCTATAATAATAATAATAATTTGTATATTTAAGGCCCAAGGAGCCCTGTCGTTACAAACTTAGTGCTATCGTGAAAATAAAAATAATAATGATAAAAAGTGAACTCTTAAAAAAATAATTGTCATCGGCAGTAAAAAAAACTCCTAAGTCGGTGGAGGAGTTAATTGTCACCGGCAGTAAAAAAAATCTCCTAAGTCGGTGGATGAGTTCAGCGGGCCACCGATTTACAAAAAAATTGATGAAAAAACTGCCTTAATAGGTAACAGGGTTTGATGCGGTTGGATTGGGACCTGATGTTGAGGGTGCAGGACATTTATGGTCATGGGAAAAAATAACATACCATTGAGTTAAGAAGGGGTCATTCGGGACAACAGGAGAAGACAGTAGAAGTTAAGGCAACATCACCGAGCTGCGACCCACCTGACTCCAGAGCCCATCGAAAAATTTGCGATAACCATTAATAGCGACCTCGAAGATGGAGAAGAGTTCACAGCCCTTCGAAGTGATGCTTGACTCTGACTCCAGAGCCCATCGGAAAGTTGGCGATAACCCTTAATAGCGACCTCACCTGTTTCCAGAGCCCATCGAAAAGTTGGCGATAAACATTAATAGCGACCTCGCCACAGCGAAGGATTACAAACACGGAAAAGAGTTTGCAGCCCTTGGAAGTGATGCTTGACTCTGCGTACAATGCCCGAAGGACCCTTTTCAAAATCAGATTCCAGAGCCAATCTCGAAGAACACAGCGAAGGTTGCAAAAACGGAGAAGAGTTCGCAGCCCTTGGAA